AGAGCAGGCAGTAAGGAGTGTGCTGCAGTTGCCGCAGTACAAAACCTGGCATCTTTGCTTAAAGCCTCCACTGCTGGCAGTTTAAGCCAAAAGGTTGAACTTTGCACTGAAGCAGCTGATGCCCAGGTGCAGAGCTGTGATTGCACACAAGGCAGCTGGTGACAACATCTTTTTAAACCACTGCAGCAGATTCAGTTTTACAAGTCTCTTGGTGCCCTAAATAGTTTTGCCCTCTTTTTCACTAAGAAGCACAAATCCAGCATGAAAATACATGCCGTGCTAGATCCAGGCTTGTGTCTTGCCAGCTGGTGGTACAAAGGGGAGAGCACAGACCACTGAGTTTTAGGGACTTCAAAACATGTGCCTGACTTATTAAACTGTTTTGACCAACTTCATGTGCCCTCTGACCGCATTGCAATGGCCAAGCAAAAAAAACCCACATTAGATGAAGCCACTGTGAATGCTGATTCTAAGCTTCAGCCTTAAAATTGAGTCATTTCACCAGCTCAGCAGGCTGCCATTCTTGTGGCACTTGCCTTTCCTGAGTTGGGAAGCATCAACTCATTGAAAAGTGTAATTTGCATTCATAGATACCTCAGGTCATCAACCGCACATCCACCAGCTGATGGCCTAAGTGATCACTGCACTGAGGGTAGGAGGAGGCTGCAGAGACCTTAGTAAGGGCAGCTATAACCATTAATCTCTAGCAGTAGTGTGTGAGCAGAGCATGAGATGCTTACCAACTTTCAGATTTTAGCATAAATTTCCAGAGATGAAGTTAGGCAAAGATCCTCCTATTACTTCTGCAGCACCTGCAGTTTTATTCCATATTCTAAAAAGATGCCATTAATACCAAACCCTGTGGAATGAATGTGGGATGCCACCATGTTAACCAAGCCACTATTATGAGTAAAAAAAATTAAGCAGTTTAGGTAATTTTTCAGGGGCTGTGTAGGAATGAAATAGCAATTCATCTAGCTAGTTGATATTCTGACTTGTATGATTATGGGGCAAAAACAGGGCAGCTGACAGAGTTACTTAATTACCCCAACCTCTCTGCCCTCACTTCTGTCTGAACCTATTCAGTCAAATTAACTCACTCAACTCTCTCAGAAGAGCAAGGTCTGAGAACATCACTATCAAAGAGAGGCACAGATTTTGTGTGTTTCTATTTTATTCTCTTCATCTCTGTGTTTCTAGATGCAGAGGAAGGATGGAGCTCTTTTGCAAGAACTCAAAAGCAGGATTATTTGGGCTCTAGTTATGCCCCACTGTCATGAATTGATGTCCAAAACCCTATATAGTTAAAGCCACAACCTTGAAGAGCTAACAAACTTGGAAAGGGTCTTAAGGGTAAATACAGGGAAAAGCAATTTAGTTGAGGGTGCCCTGGAATTAAAGGGCAGAAGTAGAAACATAACCTTGAGATCAGATGTGTACCCTTGGAGAAGTTGATAGGCATCAAAGCACAGAGACAAATTTATTATGTCTATTTATTTCATTGAGAGTTGAGTGCCCATACAGCTGTAGCTAGCTACATCTTACTGTTACTTAAATACCTTTAAAAATCTGTCCTAAATTTATTCTGGGTCGGTATACTGTGTCATTCCTCTGGCCACAAGAAGGATTTATTCATCCCCAGAAGAGCAGATACTGAAATAGCAGGCTCAACTCTCTCATTAACTTCATCATCTTATTTGAGTAAAAAATTCCATCCTACCCATCATTTTGCTTACAAAGTATCTATTTTTAAATGCCTTACAGGGTTTATTTTCATTAGGCTCTGGCAGCCTTCTTGTACTAGAACTGACTCACTTCATACTGTACTCCTGCAGGTGTAACTGCATTAAGTTCTGTAAAGTTATTTTTAGTTTACACTGGTTATATAGGACCTACCTAGTGTGAGTCACCTGATAATTCTCTTCAGCATGAAAAAAATAGATCTACTTGGTTCCAATTAATTTTTTTTAATGTAAGCTAAATTTAGACCTATGAATAATACATTCCACAGCAGGTAACACGAATTAAAGGGATGTGGCAGTTCAACTATGACATGTGTGAAGTCAGTAAAGAAACTGAACATAATCAGATTTGGTAATATCAACAAGCCTCTTGTAGGCATGAGCACACGACAGCCCATGGGTGTTGGAAGCTGTAACATCACCTCCTTTAAATCCCTCTCATTCTTCCTCTCCTAGGAAAGAGGTATAGCTTGGGTTTGTTCAGAAAATCAGAAGTCCCTTGAACTTGAGTGGAAGATCTGTCTGTTTCCAGGTTCATCCCAAAGCATCTGCTAAAAGCAATTTTGTAGCTAGTTCCTCACTTTGTAGACTTTTCCTGGGGACATAAATCAGAATAGTTTATCCCACGTTTGTTTGGTTGGTTGGTTGGTTTGTTCATTTTTTTTTTAATAAATGACTGAACAAAAACTTGCACTAAAAGAATCCCCCAAACAAAAAAACCCCACCCAACCAGATCCAAATCCCCACCCTCCAGTTTCCTCTTTTTAATTTACACATGGATGCTGATTTAAGACAGTCTCTGATGATGGCTGTGGTATTGAAGAAGTACCTTCTAATTTCCTTGTTTTCAATTGTTTCCTTTAATGGAAGGTAAGTATAAGTGGTGGTGTGTAACCATAAAGCAGGTAGATGTTGGAACTGTATTTGCAATGTTATCCTCACAAGTATATGGGACTAGATGGGATCCACCCAAGGGTGACGAGGGAGCTGACAGAAGAGCTCACCAAGCTGATCTCCATCATTCACCAACAGTCCTGGCTTACTGGGGAGGTCCCAGATGACTGGAAGTTGGCAAATGTCACGCCGATCTACACAAAGGGCTGAAAGGAGGACCCAGGAAGCTGCAGGCCTGTCAGCCTGACCTCTGTGCCTGGCAAGGTTATGGAGCAGATCATCCTGAGTACAATCACACAGCAGCTACAGGATGGACAAGGGATCAGACCCAGCCAGCATAGGTTTAGGAAGGGCAGGTCCTGTCTGACCTGCCTGATCTCTTTTTTGATCAGGTGAGCTGCCTGATGGATGAGGGGAAGGCTGTGGATGTGTTCTATCTGGACTTCAGCAAAGCCTTTGACACCATCTCCCACAGCATTCTCCTGGAAAAGCAGGCAGCCCAGGGCTTGGACAGGGCACTCTGTGCTGGGTTAAGAACTGGCTGGAGGGTCAGGCCCAGAGAGTGCTGGTGAACAGGGCTGCATCCAGCTGGTAGTTGGTCACCAGTGGTGTCCCCCAGGGATCATTGCTGGGTCCAGTTCTGTTTCACATCTTTATCGATGATTTAGATGAGGGGATTGAGTCCACCATTAGTAAATTTGCAAATGACACCAAGCTGGGGGGGAGTGTCAATCAGCTGGAAGGCAGGAGGGCTCTGCAGAGGGACCTGGATAGGCTGGAGAGTTGGGCTGACTCCAATGGGATGAGGTTCAACGAGGCCAAGGTCCAGGTCCTGCACTTTGGCCACAACAACCCCTGCAGCGCTACAGGCTGGGCACAGAGTGGCTGGAGAGGGACCAGGTGGAAAGGGACCTGGGAGTTTGAATTGACAGGAAGCTGAACATGAGGCAGCAGTGTGCCCAGGTGGCCAAGAAGTCCAATGGCATCCTGGCCTGTATCAGGAACAGTGTGGCCAGCAGGAGCAGGGAAGTGATCCTTCCCCTGTACTCAGCGCTGGTGAGGCCACACCTGGAGTATTGTGTGCAGTTCTGGGCCCCTCAGTTCAGGAAGGATCTTGAGGTGCTGGAGCAGGTCCAGAGAAGAGCAACGAGGCTGGTGAAGGGACTGGAGCACAAGTCCTATGAGGAGAGACTGAGGGAGCTGGGGTTGTTTAGCCTGGAGAAGAGAAGGTTCAGGGGAGACCTCATCACTCTCTACAACTACCTGAAAGGAGGTTGTAGCCAGGTGGGGATTTGTCTCTTTTCCCAGGCAACTATCAGTAAGACAAGAGGGCATGGTCTTAAGCTCTGCTGGGGGAGGTTTAGGTTGGATATTAGGAAGTAATTCTTTACAGAGAGAGTAATCAGGCATTGGAATGGGCTGCCTAGGGAGGTGGTGGATTCACTGTCCCTGGAGGTTTTTAAGATGAGACTGGATGTGGCACTGAGTGCCATAGTCTAGTAACTGTGGTGGTAATACATCAAGGGTTGGACTTGATGATCTCAGAGGTCCTTTCCAACCTGGGTGATTCTATGAGTCTATGAAAAGGAAACTGACAACTATATTGATTAACAGCTTTATGTTATCAACACCATCTTTCTGTAATGTTGGTGAGTAGCACTGTTAGACCTTATTTTTGAAAAGCATACAGAATTTTTTTTCCTGGATATCAGGATTTTCTAATGGTGTTCCCTTTAAAATGTGTGCACATAGTCGTGATACTGAACCTGTAAACAAGGAATATATTCCTCTAATTATATTCTCTTCAACTGTGACACGCAAATTCAGTACTTTCAAATTCAATTGTGAGCTTGGTGCATGTAAACCTTAACTGGGATTGGATTGCAGGTGTGGAAACAATAAACAAAACCAATAAAAGTATATATAAATTTTTTTTTAATTTCTATGACTTAGACAAATTGTTTTTTCCTAATACTGTCATCAGTAACAGTACAGCCTTCAAATGCATACCATACTTATCTACTGGATAGAGACATAAAAACTACTACTAATAAGTACAAGTAAGTTTCTGACACTTGAACTTCCTGCTGAGTCATTTAGAATAGTAAATCGTTCTTTCTTAACTGCAGCACCCCTGTCTCACAAGAAAGGGCAGTATGTGCATGCAGGAAAACACACAAGTTTTTCTCCTGAATTCAGTGGCAACCACCACTGAGGTTAGCAGAAGGGAATGGCTACATCAGGTTTGGGGCAATCTTATGGCAGAAGTGACTTCACTGAATTGCTCCTGATTTCTGACCCTATCCTTTTCTCCTCACTTGTGGAGCCTTCCTATCTCAGTTGTATTTTGTTCTTTTCCTGCAGGAGAAAATACAAGAAAACGTCACAGAGGTAAGAGTAAATCACAGAGGACTGCAAGGTATTTGTAAGTTATCTGTCTCTTTTTGTTTGAAAGATGATTTTCCTCTTGGCAGGTTGGTGTTTTTTATTCAGGGAAATGCCATTCTACTGGTTGTTTCTCCGTTTGAAAGTCCATCTTGTGCTGCTGCTGCTCCACATCTCTTCTGCTGCTAGTGGTAGTCCTCCCCTCTGATATTAGAGGTAGTTCTCTCTGAGAAAGAATGGAAATATTTACCATTGACGGTCAAATCCTAATAAACATAACACTGCTTCTTCTGCAAAATCTGCTGGTTCACTTTTATTGCTTAGTCATGCTGTAATAACAAAATGTATGACAGGCTTGTAGTGTTACTAATGATCTGTGCCTTTGCAATAGACTGAAGAAAAATAGGAATCCTGTTGATTAACAGTCCCTATTACAGCCTCCAAATCTGGTTGTCTTACTGCTTCCTTGCAGGAGGGAGGCTCAGTGGGGATCTTTCACAGATCAATTTTCCTTCTTTGGAACCCTTGAGCTTGGTTGCTTCAGAACATGCACTTTGCAGCACAAAGGTTTTTTGGTAGTGTGCTGATTTGCCCTCTCATGCAAGTGGACTGTTAATTGGTGATTGATGTCATGGCATCCTGAACATCTTTAGTTCATGTTGACTTTAGTTGGACTTAAGACTTCTGTAGAGTGCTTCAACTCTGCTGAATATGCCCTTTAATATTGTGTGATGATAAAGAGTGCTGGCAGATAATCCAGTGGGATGATGTGGTGGGTAAGGCATCACAGCCACCACTCCTGTTTGCTGTCGCCCTTTGGCAAAGATGATTGCTCTAATGCAGCACTGGCAGGACAGGCTGTGTGTGTGCTTGTGTGTCATAGCCACGACAAACTGAGGTGTGGTGGCTTGAGTCATGGACGAGGTGGGTTTAAGGTATGACAGTTTAGTGAAAAATAATGATTCGGAGATTTCTGTGCTGAACTGTGAAAGTGGGCATTGTGTAATGTGAGACACAAGAACAAAGAGAAGGTAAATATGCTCCCAGTTGTTTTCTTAAATGTGGGGCTGACAATATAGTTTTGTTTGCATCTCTACTTTTTCCCCCATTTCCCTTGATGCTGCCATGATTGCTAATTAATTATAAACATGTCTCTGGCTGGAGGTCTTGAGTTGCTGCAAGACAATTTGTTCTGGGACTAAGATTTTTTCCAGAATGAATGTTTGCACTCTGTGTGTCTGTGTGTCTGTGTGTCTGTGTGGGTGTGCGTGTACATTGCACTGCTTGCATTGTCAATGCGTTGCATTGAGTACTGTGTCTTATTTGGATGTCTCTTCTGTGGACATAACCATGGCATTAGAGAGGTTTGTATTCAGCATCTCTTTTGTATAGATGAAGTATATTAACAGTTTCTACAAGCCAATTACACTGTATCAATGGCATACAGAGAATACAATATGTCAGTCTGTTTAAATATAGCATTAGAGGGTTTTGTGCCCTGTGCAATGTTGAACTTTCTGGGTTTTTCTCTTACTCTTACCCATGCCAGCTGCTTGACTGAAGGTATGCATCCTTGCAGCATCTGTGCGAATGGGCTTCATGGCCCTCTCATGTCTAACAAATGATGTGAGCTCTGCAGAGGCCCAGAGGCCACTCCAGGGACTGGTACACAGCAATTGCTCAGCAGCTACTCCTGATAACCTTGCTCAATGGGTGCTGACTGCCAGCACAGAGGGCTCTGTAGTGCAATGGGGTAACTGCTGTCTGTGTCTGGGAACCACACACTGGCAGCACCTGGGCAAACTTAGCAGGCTAGTAGGCTTGTGCCTTGAATTTGCCACCTGCTGAGTGATTACGTATGATGCTAAATGAGAAATTGCACATAGTACAATCTGATGCAGAAGTGTAACATCCAGCAAAAGGAAGTAGTTGGACAGCAGTTCACTTAAAGTCTGGTTTTAAGGTGAGACTTCCTGTTGAGTTGATAATTCCAGCAACGTGCATAAACTGATGGCTTGGCTCAGGTTTCCATCTTCATTTCTCACATTCTTCTCTTGTGGGGCTTTCTTTTTGCCTTTGATATGTTCTTTCAAAACAATCTTGGTGGTTCCTATGTCACTGGCCTCTAGAGGGTGTCTGACAGCTAGACTGAAATGATCTATTGCTTGCTTTTACATCCTCTTCCTTTTGTTTCTGTTTGGGGAGTGTTACCACATAAGAATGTCTACATGATAGTAAGCAGCAGCTATGTAAGAGAAACACTACTGCCCTCTGTATCTTGCAGTGAGTGTAAAAAACCAGTTTCCTCTGAGTGCAGACCTGTTGGGAAGGAAGATGAGGTATGTGCAAGAAAATGTGAGGAGAAAGAATTGGGGTAAAAACTGAGCCATTCTAAAAATGTAATTAGAAATGACAGACACTGACTCTTGCATTGATCATCCTGTTAAGTGAGTTAACTTAAATGCTTTTGTAACAATAATATGTTGGTATGATTTTCCTTATAAACTTGGAAGTTTCACAGCTGTCTAGAGAAGCCTAACTTCATTAGTCGCACCCTGAATTTCATCTGAAACACTGAACTGTGATGTAGATTAATCACAGCAATTCCAGAGAAGCAGGATATTTAATATAAAATCAAGTCATCATTCTCCTGCATAGTTCCCTAGTTCCCTTTGGGTAAGTGAACAGTAGATAGTGTACTAAATAGTGACTGGGAGCCAAGCTGAAGCTCCAAACTTCCAGGTCCTAGGGTTGGTTTTCCTTTTTTTTTTTTTTTTTTTTTTTTTTTTTTTTTTTTTTTGCCTTTTTTTTTTTTTGAGCACCTGAGGCCTCAGTCATATTTGATTTGACTCTCAGTTGTCCTGAAGATTTCCAGCTATGGGCTGCCTATGTTTTCCTGGGAGATATTCAGCACCTTCAGCTCTCTGGGACATGAAGAGGGAAAGGAACATTTCAAGTAGCCCTTGGCAATTCCCCATTAGATTAGGTTCATTTGCTTGGGTGATTTCAGCTACTACAGGTAATTTTACACTTCTAAAGACTCAATAAAGTCCAATTTATCATCACAGGATTTGTCAGATAAATAATCTGTGTTAGCTGACATGGCATTTCCATTAGGATCCTAATGGTTTCCATTAGGATCTGGAGTCATACATTTTTACTCCATCTAACAAAGAATTGCATGTGTTGTTCTTTTAGTTTAGCTGCATGTTGGTTAATTGTACAGTTTAATTTTCTATTAAGATGCAAATGCTTCTTTTACAGTGACCTCCTTTTAGATAAAATTCCTGATATTTTATCTGTTAGTCATGGATGAATGAATTTTTTTCCCCTAAGTACGTGTTAATGATTTACATGAAGTACAAAGCAGAAAAGGAAATGTTAAAGGAAAAGCCGCTGCCCAAGCATTCTCATACCATTTAAGTAGTCACATACACACCACCCCGTACTTTAACTGCCTGGTCCAGAGTCACTTTGCAGCAGGCAGCTCCAGAGAGCCAGTGGGTGCCCCTTTTGACTCCTTGTTCACACACACACTCACTTGGATGTGTTTCTTCCTTCTTCAAGCTCAGCTGTAGGTTTCCTGCAGCAGAGTCTCAGGTGTCAAATTTATAAAAATAAATAATTTAATAGAGAGATACAGCAGCAGGTCAGCTTGAGTCTGCCCTCAGAACTAAGTAATCCTTGGGGAACTATGACTTGCACACCCTCTTCTCACATGCTCTTCACGTGCCTGGAATGCACCTCTTGGTTCAATGGTGATTTTTGTTGTGGCATTCTTCTAACATCTTATTTGGTTATTTCTCAAGTGTCCATGCAGGCCATTAACTGTTCTTATCTTGCCAAGCTGCAGCTTCTCCTGGTGCCTGTAGTCTCCTTGTCTTCTGATTTGTGCTTCTGGTGCACCTGCTTGCTGGCAGAGCTTAGGAAACTAAAAAAGCCCTAGACTTAGGATAAATGTTACTTAGCAACAACCAAAACATCAGTATGTTATTGATATTCTTCTCATGCTAAAGCCAAGACACAGCACTGTACCAGCTTCTAGAAAATTTACTAAGAAAATTAACTATCCCAATCGAAAGCATATCTAGGTGTAACTTCACAGGTTGAGGCCTAAAGCTTCAGCAAATCCAGCTACTCATGCTAAGCAAGTGAAGCTAAGAAGGCTAAATCCACTCTATATTGTAACTCTATGTGACTCATTATACTTAAAATGTATTTATTTATGCTAAAGAACAAGTATATCACAATAAGAAATGTAAGCAAAGTGTCCTTGAAATATGACTATGGTCCTGAAAGAAGCATTCTAAGTGGCTCTGCAAAATACCAAAGTGATTTCTTTAAGAAGTGTTGTACTCTGATTAATAAAGGTTGAGATCTCATACAAACCACATGGTCAGAACATCAAACTTTTCCTAATCTTCAGAAGGATTTTGTTTCTACTTCAGATGATTTGGCAAGAAACTTGTAAGCAGAGATCTTTTCCATCCCTTTCCCACTTTCTTATTCTTTCTCATGTATGTATGTGCTTCTTAATTCAAGTTTGTTGAAGCCTTTAGTTAATATATTCTTGGAAGAATGAATTTATGCTAGTGTGGAACACAAGAGGGGAAATCATAAATGTAATGGTATTATTTACAAAAAAAGGTGGAAAGTGTATTTTCTCCTGAAATTTAGTTGATAGTAAGCTTCAAGATTACTTATAATGATACCTCTGTAGATTAAAATAATCCACTATCACTTTTGGATTATTGCTTTGTAAGACTCATTCTAAGTAATCTTTGAGTTAGGCATTTACTTGGGACCAAATCCTGTGAGGAAAATGCCGTACTTGGTTTAATGGCATCTTTTAGTGCTATTAGGCACACTAAAGAGAACTTCATTGGAATGAAGCATCAGTGCTTTCTCAAAGCTGATTATATGAGTAAGGACATTATCACAGAATGGGTAAGGTTGAAAGGAACCACAGTGGATCACCTGGTTCAACTTCCCTGCTCAGGTAGGAT